CTCTCTCTCTCTCTCTCTCTGGTTGTATGCATGACATTGAGCCCGTGTCAGCTGGGAAGCTTAGGCTTTTGGGTTTCATGTGAGGCCTGAATAGTTTACCGATGCTTTTCTTAAGGAGCCACTATAATAGTACTAGACTACAACCCCAAAACCCTCTTCGAATCAGGCCCTTACATTAGGGAAGCTACTTCGAATTCGGCGACTGGGTGGGGGGGGGGGGGGTTGGTTGGGTTGCAACCCCCAGCTGGCACCTGAGATTTTAGAGAATCCTAAACCCCCATAAAGCCAGGGCGGCGATGCGAAAGCAGAAGGAGCTTATGGCAGCGCCGTCAGATTTGGAGTGCCGGGGGGGCGTGCGGATGTTCAGTTTCGAAGTCTGCCCTGTGATGGATCGAGTGAGGGAGGAGGAGCTGGGAAGGAAGGGGGGAAGGACAGCAGCTGTCGAGATAGACCCAAAGGGCGCAGAAAGGGGTTTCGTCGGCTACCCTAAACCCTAAACCCTAACATTTCGCGTAAACCCTCGTGCCACTCTCCAGGCCGAGGTTCGAGAATCGGGGCAGCTTCAACAGACTACAGATGGCATTTTCGGGCTTCAGGGTTTTGGACAACGAGGGGCCTGTTGCAAAGAGCCTGCAGCACCCATCCACCCTTGCGAACCGAAGCAGTGCTTCGGAAGCTCAACCGTAAGTGCCAACACTCCATGCACCATGTACTCTAAACTTGCAGGCATGGAGTGAACTACTGGTGTGAGCCACGGTAGCCTCATGCCCTAGGAGTAGGATCTTTGTGATTGATCCCCCGGGTTCAAGGTTGTCTAAGGCTTCGTTAAGGCGGCTGTCGGTATGGTGGCTTTGCTGTGCCAGGATCGAAATGGCTTGGGCACGGAACTCGTGGACCCTGAGGAGGCGGCAAAGGGAAGGGAGGTTTAGGGCTGTCGGGTGCAGGCAGCACAGGTGTTGAGTCGTTTTAGGTTAGCAGCGGTTAGCAATCGATGAGGGGACCTTAAGGAAGCACTGATTACTGAAATGCTTACTGCAGATTGCCCAAAATAAAGAAAGCATGACATTAGGGTTGAGATGTACGGGGCATTGCGTCCATGGTGTGAGTACCATGATGGCAGAACGTGAAGCCCGTGCGGTTAAGACGCCCAACCCAACATTCCAACTGCAGCGATCCCCAACCCTAAACCCTAAACCCAGCTCAGTGATGGGAGCGGGATCTTTACGGCCCGCAGAGTGGGATTCGTACTTCAGGGCAACCTCTGTTTGATGGGAAAATGCAGCCCTCGGGTGATGGACGAAAGTCTGTGCTATGCGCAGAAAGAGAACTGCCACAATTCTCATCGGTCATGGTGCTTAAGGTACTGCACGACGACCACAAAAAAAGCAATGTAGAACAAACTAAATTGGTGTGACGGCAACATCCGAGCTGGACATTTACACCTTGATCCGGTCGCGCAAGTCTCTAGCCAACGGCACTACTTACGCCACTTGGGGTGATTGTGGTGGTCCTTGCATGCGGATCGTATGAGTTTCTATGCTTTGACAGGGCCTTTCATGTGAGTCTTTGCATCGTTGTATTGTAGCCTGGATATAGCTCGCAAGCACAAGCTTGGCTGCCGTCAGGAGAAGAGGCAACGAATCTTGAATCTAATGATGGGAGGCACGCCACACTTGACAACGGTTGAGGCTTCAGTTCTGATAAGAAGAGGAAGAGCAGGGAGAAAAAGAGGTTAGTGCTGTCTTTCTCAATACTCCGTGCAAATACTATTTCAAAGGTTGCCACCTCTTAGGTACCCTTATGAGTATAGCCATGCGTACTATTGTTATTGCACTACTATAGCTGTTGTTGTTGTTGCTGCTGGTACGAGTCGTCGTTACCGTAGTCGGACTGTCGTCGTTGTCGCTGGTTCCTTGAAAGTTTTCTCCTTAGTTATGTCTATGTGGGGGTTTCCGAAAATAGGGGACCCTAATATAGTACCCTAAATTCTAAATAGTAGGATCCTTATTATAAGGACCCCAAAATAAGCAGCAAAATAAGGTGCCCCTAATTTTCGGAAAGTCCCATGTGGTGTGTAAGTGGCAGGCGATCGCTGGGATGTTCAGCTAGGCTTCAGCACCGGGATCCGGCGAAGTCCAGGAAAAGCATCTGAATCTGAAGGCCTACGCAAAAATATTAGGATAATATGTGTGAAGCAGCTTCTTATGAAATCCAAGTAGGAGGTTTTCCGGCACATCTGTGCGGTTCTTCTCATCAATCGGTGCAAATTCTGGCGCCACAGCTCGCATGTTCATGGATCAGACTAACGAGTGAAGTCGCGCATTGAACTTCCAACCGACCTTTCCATGTCTGGCCGGAGGCAGGAAAGGGGATATCATCAAGTTCTTTCAGGCACGTGCGGGTGTGCCAAAGGGCTGTGTTTCGGTGGGCAGACCGCACAGGCCTGGCGCAAAGGTGCAACACAGCAGCGGAAGGACGGGTGAGACGGAACGATGTGCAGGGCTGTCTTGTCAAGGCAAAAAAACGTGTATAGGGAGGACGTTTGAACTGGGACCCAGGTCGTTTCCAGAAAGAATCTAAAAGCTGATCCCAGGAGACGAAAATCCGTGAGCGTGAAATTGGATGGCGAGCCAACTGTGGCGGAACAGCTGCAGCCTCATTTCGTCAGCAAAGAGCGCAGATGCTGAGCATTCCCATGCATTGCAAAATACACAGACTCCGATGTGTGTCTCACTCTGCGACCTTCATGTTGGGGAGTCCTCGACTGCTGCTGCTGCTGCTGCCCCGGCTGCTGCAACCGACTCTCCGACTGCAACCATCGCGGCAAAGAGAACTGCTGCCACAACCACGGCGAATACAACCTTTGCACTGCGCCTATGATGACGAGCATTGCGTCCTGTAGTATCTACTCCTGACATGGGCAGGCAAGTCAGCGCTGCACCGAGCATAAGAAGCGCATCCCAGAGAGCCCAATACCGCTTTGTTAAGGAATATGCCTGAAACTATAGGGGCCTTAATCTTATTGTGATTTAAGGTGTGTATACATATATATATATACACATATTCCTTAATCCCCTTACCGGAACCCTTATAGATCCCTTTAAGGAACCCTTTTAAGCTACATATCCCTCAATTCAGGGGCCCCTTAAGGGCTCTCTGGGAGTCTCTTCTCAGCCCTCAGGATCCAGACCTACCTGGTGGCTGCACATCCGTTAAGCTGTCCGCTCCTAAGCTGAGGGCTTTTATGAGGCTTTTAGGGTTTTTAGGATTTAGGGGTGTAGGGGTGTAGGGTTTAGGGTTTAGGACTTTTCGGAGGCTTTGGGAAGGCGTCAAATATAGAGTTGACAGGAAAAGGTTGAAGGGTTTGGGCTTGGAGTTCGGGCACAGCTGAACCATAGCCATGATGGTAGCTTGTTGCAGTGTTGTTTCTCGGTCAGTATCATGAATACTTGTCTTCTCAGTCCTGTTGCCACACGAGATCCGGAATCCGGAGGCTGATGCCGGCAAATATGGCGCTGCCGCTGAACAATTTCCTCAACATCACCTCAGGCTCTTGCAATTCGAGTTCGCTGGCTATGCGCCGCTGCGAAATTCAGTCGTAGACGAAACAGTAGCAGTTCGCATCTGTTTGTAGACTCTCTGTGCTTGGCTGTACGAGAATAGATGCCAGCCAGTATGACAGGGACCCTCTACCTCCATACGGATGGCCGATTTCCCTCATGAGTTCCCCCTATACAGTTCAAAAGCAAGCGGACCTGCGACGCAGGTGAATCTGAAACATTCCGCACTTCGAGAGGGCGGGCGATTGTCTGTGATGATGAAGCTTGTGCATCACCATCGTGCTGTCTCTGCACTGCCCGGCCATCGATCCAGCAGTAGAACCAGGATTCCACTCCGCTCGAAGCTCCGACAGCGGACGTGGACCCGATCCCCTTGCCAACATTTTGCACCAGATTCCGAATTTCAGGTTGTAACTAGGAAGACCTCCGGATGCTTCCGACACGTGTCATATTGAATGCTTGGCGTCTGCCCTGCAGGCGGGACTATTCTATGGGCCTGACAGGGATGTCCGACAAGCTCAAGCAGCAGACTCGGCACACGACAAAATAGGATTGCCCATCCCTATGTTTGTGTCTGCAGCATGAGGAGGCGTGTTGAAAACCGCAAGAACCTCAATCCCAAATCCTATGCCCTGGCCCCAGAGCTGAACTCAGCAGTGCAGTAGATACCTTCGCAATAGTTTGTGGTGTGTTTCATCTTGCATATGATATTATGATGGTCGTCATGGCATGCAAGTTGAGCATTCGAGCTCCCGGCATCCTCCAGGGTGCCGAAACCGCAAGTCGTAAGGCCTCGAATTTTGAGGGGGGGGGGGGGGTCTGGTTCCTTTCTACCTGAACCCTGTGTGCGACTCGGCGGTACTCCACTGATGTCAGCAATCTTCCACGACGACCAAGTGGTCTGAACTCGAAACCGCAAGACCTGTCTTCCAAGGGAGGCGACTGCGATCCGAGCCACCGGCTTGCTACCGAAGATCAAGGATCCGGGCTAGGGCCAGTCTGGGATAATGTCATGCAGGGTTTGGAGCAGACTTGGTTTTCTGAGCTGAGATAGGTTGCGACAGTTTGGATTCGTTGACTAAACCGGTGCCATCTTCCCCAGCAGTGAATGTGACAATGTTTTGGATCCACACCTGACCCCCAGTCACCATTGAAGTACCCGAATACTTCCTCCGCTTCTTTCTACCCTGCTTGCTTTGCAAAAGCCCAAAGATGTCGTCTCCTTAAGCAGGAAGCCGAACCCCCGGAATCCCGCCAGGACGCGCAGAAGCGGGAAGTCTCGGTAGAAAAGCATGTGCACCACGACACCTGGTTCGGCGTGGTGGCCCAGCTCGGGAGGGCTTTAAGTTTCATTGGGATTCAAGAGAAAGGAAACGGAAAGAAGCTTGACATAGCTTGAATAATGAGTAATAGTTAGTAGGAGTGTAACATACATTTGCATATACGGATACATATACATATGTTTGTTACTATATGTGTGTATATATATATGTATACATATATATATATCCAAACTTTAAAACCTAGTTCTAATAATTGAGGCCACCAAGGTCCAAGAGGCGCATCCAAAGGCCTTCATTCTCTGAAGCTTTCCCCTAAATGGGCTCGCAGTTCCAGGAGGTGGTTAGAGCCAAAAAGGAAGAATGGTAAGACCGGGCAGAGCGAGCTGGCTCTTGGTTTCCGATCCAGTTTCGGGTTTTCAGGGTTTTTTTGGTCCGCCAACGCCCAAGGTCCCAAAAGCGAGCTTCAGAACCTGAGCTGCAAAGTGCGCTCTTTCAGCTTGAGTGCCCGCATTTTTATCGCAAGCTTGACAGGTAGAGTTTGGAGGTCCAGAATCGCAGGAGTCCGGCAATCGTAGTGGCGATTCCTCTTGTGTGCCATGTTGAAAAGGCTTCCCAATTTTTCGCCACCGTGTTGCCCCTTCGCAACTGGGGATTGAGACCTGTGCACATGACAGCGCAGCAGAGCTGAAGCAGAGCTGAGGACAGTATCTCACTGCAAGACAGGGGAGCTGTACTATCTTGACCCGGATTTCGCTGCACATGCCGGGGCGGGTGGTGTTAGAGGGATGAACTCCGCCATCTATCGAGCCTTACCATTCTCATGCGTACTTTAAGTACTCTAACATAGTTGAGCTACGTGGAACTAGAGTCACCTTGCTGGCTCCCGAAACCCTGGAAGTAGAGATGGTCCGGGCAGGTCGTGTTTGGCATTCAGGTCGAAAAGTTTGGCAGTGGCTCTGCCCAGAGGGCTAGGTAGGTCTCCAGTACTATCCAGTACTGAGGTAGTTGGGCGTGGGGCAGTATGCACCAAACCCCTAAACCCTTATAGTTGACTCAACCCTGCAATGCGGGCTCGTCCTTGCTATGTAGGAGAGAAAAAAACCCTTGTAGTTCAAAAAACCCTTATAGTATAGTATAGATTGCTAGTCACTGCTAGCCAGCTCTTTGGACCCTCTGGCCTGGATCTTGAAACTTTTAACCCGGCCCTCTTCAGAGCTGCAGTTGCAAACAGCTCTGGTGCACCACGGGCCCTTTTAGGGTCTAGGAAAGGCGGGAGGTTGTAGGTTTGTAGATTGTAGTTTGGGCTTGAGGGTGCTTTGTTTGAAGGACTCATGTTGTTCTCGATGTGCTATAGGACACGATGACGATGCGGATCCGACAGTGCCCTGTTGAAAGGCAGATGTTGCAGCTGGGCTTTGGATTCAGAGTAGGGAAGCGAGTGATGTAATCTTCGTTCGCTCATAGCCTGAGACATCGCACTTATTAGAGGAAATCTGGTATCCATGAGGCGAGGTAAAGAGCCTTGCGCTCTTGAGCTCCTTGAGTACTACAGGCGATGTGTCATCCGGAAGTGGAGCTTTCTTAGCGGAGGGATCACTAGCGATGTATGAATTTGTTTGACAATGCTGCGACTGCGCCGTAGAGCTGACATGCTTGGTTTGCTGCTCTTCATTTCCGCAGTGTGAATAACCGTGCCGGGTTTACCGCCTATGTTCCCACAGACAGTCCAGGCAGGTCAAAGGTTGTGTGTTTGCGAGGCAGCCTTCAGTCGAACTGGGTTCATCGATAAATTAGAAATACAGGCTAAGCATCTTACTTCTCGAGTGCGCAGCGCAGCTTAGCATGCCTCGGCGGGGTTGCAACCAGACAGCGCCCATGCCCGACAACCTTCGCTCGTTGTCTCCAAGGCCCTCCAAGCTACGGCCTTGAACCTGCCAGCAACTGAGGAATTTCCGACGGAGGTCTTCCGTCCTGGACCTCAATGCTTAGTCATACCTGCGCCAGAAGGCTGAGTCTGTCGATGCCTCTTGTCGTGCAAGACTTCTTTGGAAGCCACCGTGGTCCTCAAGTGGGAAAGGTTGAGGAACCCTGCGTATAGCGTGAGCAGTAGTTGGTTTTAGTTGGTTTTCAAGACTGGCTCGTGGCCGATTCCAATGCGCGCTGTCAGGATTCAGGGGTGTAGGGCGACAGAGGAGTCATATATAAGTTGGAGAGAGAGAGAGGGAGAGAGAGAGAGAGACAGAGAGACAATCAGAATCAGCCACAGAGAGACAGAGAGAGAGAGAGGCGCAAGGGACTGCAGGTGCGCACTCGCGCGCAAGGGGGGGGGCGTCCGCCTTCCTCCTTTGCCCCGGTAGAGAGAGAGAGAGAGAGAGAGAGAGGCGCAAGGGGGTTACATAAAGCACTTTGCAGAGAAAGCCATACAGAATTATACGGCAGAAGGCACTGACATCACTTCATACGTAAGAGGACACGCTAGCATTGTTTGGGGTTAAGGCTGCCTAAGGCTGCCTTTACCTGCTTCGGGAATGTGGGGCTGTTCTAGATTCCGGTTTCCCGTCAGGCGTTGCACCGAAAAGGATTGGAGTTTATTGCACGGGAAAGAATGCAGAACAGCTCCCAATTATTTGTTGGCGAGGTTCGAATAAGTGGAGGTTCTTGAAATCAAGAATCAAAGAGCGCTTTTTCCCGCCACAGGCTACGGCTTTTCGAGAAGCTCCGTTAGGAGAGTTGCATCGTTGGGTGGGCCGCATTTTCAAGAATTGCGGGTTTGTTTTGCAGGTGTGCTTGTGCGCCACCAGAAATGGATAGTTTGCGCGCAGCCTGTCAAAAAGGCAGCTGATCTCCGCAAGCCCTAGAGCCCTAGAGACATGCGTGCGGGTGTAAAGGTCACACACTCTTCCCGTGGACTGAGAAGTGGATCGTTCTGCTTGCAGACGCTTGAGAAGGCCGCTTCCTGAATGTCGAGTCCGCTTACCACGGTTTCTGGGAGGGCTTTGTTGTCACCACTTTGGATTTGGGGCTTACCTGTGGCTTCTATCATGAGCACAAAGATTGCCATGGTAGCTGGGAGATCACAAGAAATATCAATCAACCACTTGTTCGTTTATACAGGGTGCTCGGGGGTCTATGTCGTCGAACATGGGAGCCCTGACAAATGTTGTCCAACATGGCAAGGTATTCCCTTGTGGTCTTTGTGGAGTTGTCGTCACTTGCTCAGGCCACTTCTCTTCGGCAAAAAATGCAAAATTTGTCCTTGTCTGTCGGAATCGTCACTGATGCCACCCATGCTCGCAGGTTGACGTGTAGAAGCTGAGAGCTCTAATTAGGGCCAGAAAATGCCGGCACCGTCGCTGTTGGCGCATTTAGATGCCTCGAAGGACGGATAAGGGGGGGGGGGGGAGTTGGGAAGCAGGACTCGCAAGTGACACGTTTAGCGTCGACCCATCCAGTGCGTCAAGACTTGACACAGATTTGGAGGATTGAAGTTTCAGGGGCTGCAGTCGGTGAAACTTTCAAGTGAGCAAAGTTCCATGCCGAACAAAGTTGCAGGCCCGAAACAAGACACCTGCGAGTCCCCCAGGCGAAATCAATACAAGCAGACCCCGAAGGCTCCTATGCCGATGATGCCGAATGGCTAGGTCAGAGTCATAGCAGTTGCAACCGTAACATTCCAATACTCAAAAGGCGACAACGAGCGAAACACTCATCATGTTGCTACGGCGCTGCTGCCACTACTACTACGACGACGACTACTTCTACTCCTCCCCCTCCTGCTGCTGCTGCTGCTGCTACTGCTACTGCTACTACTGCTACTACGACGACGACAACGGCGGCGACGATGATGACTGAACACTACTGCTGCTACTAGTATTACTACTACTACTACTACTACTACTACTGCTACTACTACTACTACTACTACGAACTACTAACTACTAACTACGAGCTACT